ACATCGCAGCGAGTGTAGGGGGTAACTGCAACGTGATGATATGAGTGGTGGAACGGATATCAATTGTGAGTGACAAGATGTGATAACAAGTAGTAATAAGTGGAAATATGGTCTCAGGGAAAAAACAGATCAAGAAGAAAGAGTCGGCAAACTCATAGCGTGCATTGGAGCAATATCTGGCGCTGGTCCGAATGAAATGAGGGGCAAGCGCTGCAAGGATACTGTTGATAAGAGAAGGGAAGTCGTAGCAAAAGGGACGATAGGCTATCATCTTGATACGACCGATTTCTTTGGAGTAGCCCGGTCTTAAAGATTGAAGCACCGTTCCTACATTCACTCCCTTATCAGAAATGCCGACTGAACTTCCTTGTAATGCCGATTAAACTGGCTACGTTTGGAAACAATGGTTGTTCAAAAGTATGCGATGAGGAGCTATGAATCACTTTATCAGTGATACCACAACCATCTCAAGGAGTAGGACGCTCGCGGAGTAGCAAATGCATGAAGCAGGTGGCTCCTGCGCAGAGCTGCATGCAGCAACCAAGTCAAGTCCTGCCCGATTTAGTTACAGACATATTTTTGAGCCAAACCTACAGAGAAGAACGGATGAGGGCTGGGATTTCTACAGTACTCGTGGGACCCCCTGACAAGTGTCCTGTCACCTGCATGGAAAACACCGATGGAAACTGAGCGATTGTGTTCTGTATGCAATCTTAACGCACATAGCAATTATTAAGAACATTGTCAGCCCCGTCGTTCATATTCAACCTTACACACATAAAAGCTCTCACAAACCTGTTACTTTGAGAGACGTCGTGAATTTGATCGACATGTAGCTTCCTTCGGTAGCGTTCGTAAACCATATGCCTACGATCTTGGTGTAGCCGAGTTGCGCTTCATATTTCCTGTTTGTGGGCATTGAAGTGTTGACAACAGCTGGAGGATTTGACCTGAAGCCCTGCAATTGCTGCAGTGTCACCTACAACCCTAGGAACAAGCATTGCCGCTTTTGCCTTTCGTAGAGGGGAGCGATTTCGTAAATCCCTGTTGACATATAGGATACACACGAACGGTTTGATGCTCGTTGAAATGATACTTCTATTACTTTAAGTGCCTACGTAGCACCAAGTGGTTGAACACGGTTGAAAGAAAGAGCAATTGTGGTTTGTGGAATGCGCCATAAACCTAGCTTCCATTAGTCAGTATGAGTGCGACTTTGAGCTACGGAAAGGCTTCTCAGGTTATCATCCGCGTGAAAATGGAGAGCTTGGAGGGAAGGCTTGCTTGATTTGGAGAGTGCGGTCTCTCAGTCGTACAAATGTAATACTGCGCCGTGCTCACTTCACCCCATTTGTGACGGCAGTATGTCGCTTAAAAGTTAGATGCTTCAATGAGACAATTTCAAGATTATTCTGCTCATTCCCAGATTCGACGGTATAAACAGCAACACCTCACAGTTGTTACGCGAGATCTTCTATCCGCGATAGACTTAGATCAATTCAATGTCCTACCAGCACTCCATTGATCAATCTGATCATTTGCCTGCCTGATCGCGGACTATCTAGAACATCAGAGACTACTGTACTGTACCGAGAAATGTCCTATGTGCAATGATATGAGCACTCTATGCTGTGCGGCAACTCAAAATGAAAATGGTGTTATGCCAAAGAAGTCGCATCAGTGTGTATAGACGCCTTTTTTCTTTTCATGAGCTTAGCGCAAACGGTGCCCGACATAATCAGTGTAGATTAACCACCTCCGGGGATGGGGCCTGCCATTTGGGAGGCGAATGGGTCCGCAGTTGCAGCGGCGTAAAATTTTGCTCGAAACTGCGCCTGGGGGCTCCATATTCCGTCTGCACTACCCTCTAAGAGCAGCATCTGCGCCCATGCCAATCCACAGCGACAGCGCACTCAACAGCGAAGAACAGTCTGAAATGAGAGAGAGAGAGCAGACAAGGAGGGCGTTTGGCCGTGGTTGGCAGTGCGAGAGCCGGGTGGAATATGGGGACGGCATCCGCGCACCGCTACCCTCCAGCACCGTTTCCGTGCCTTTTTGAAAGGCGAAAGTGACTACTGTACCAGTGGACTTGTTCTCCCTCACACGGTTAGGACCAGGATCCGGGGAGGGGAGTTTACAGTTTGTCTTATAATGTAATCTTACACCTATCACGAGAGTAGGTAAGAAATTCTTAACTGCACCAAACTTTCACATGGGTTCTTTCAAAGGCGATTTGGCTAGCAGTATATGAAATGGAAATGACTTTAATACAAATGGAAAGATTTGACTAAATTCAGGGAGAGCACAAGAAATCTTTATATATTTCGTAAAACCATGAACTAGCCTCAGATCTCCCTGTACCAAAGGTATGGTCACGAATTCCTTGTATTTTTCCCGCTAGTGAAGAAACCTTGCCGACATGCTGAAACTGTGATGTTCCTGAGTTGATTACGAAACATCGAATCACCTGAAGAAAAAGCCTGTGTATTTAGATGATGCCGTGGAGCATGTGTGAACTAGAGCTTATTTCTCACCTTGTCGCAGTCTTGCTTAGTTTTATCCGGGTTGCAATAGCGACTACGTATGATATCCATGAGTATCCAGTCTACTGGCTTGTATTGATAGTAGAGAGCGACTGCGTGAATCATGTACCTCAGGTCGCCACACCTGAACGAACAGATGTGAAAGTGGAAGCATTGAAGTTTTGTTTCGACACAACGAATTAGCGTGCAAAACTTAGCGCAATTTTCCCGATTGCGGGTTTTCTTGTAACTTCTAGTGAACGGGCATTAAACGAATGATGTGATAGAGAGAGAACACCAACTTCATTATGAGTCGCCATGTCTCAAAGGGCTGAAGAACACGTCCATAAATGAACGAGGATGGGCGCTAACCTATCTGAGATGCGCTATTCATTCAGCTACCATTATACATTCTAGGCGTCTGAGTTCTGGCTTGAGCGACGAGAGGATCTGCTTTCTTTTTTCCTTTTTTTTGCATGACTGCTTTGCGATGAAGTTTGGAGAAGAGCTTCATTGAAGCTGAGCAGAGTGCGATTTCCCAAGCAAGCAAGTTTTCGAGACGAGCCAGCTTGTTCTGCCGCTGTGCTCAGCCTACTTTTTTAGAGGATGTACATTGTATAAAAGTTTGAGTGATCAAATGAAACAACTGTTTTTAATGGTTATGAGCTGGTTATGTGCTGGTTTTTCGTATTTACAGAAAGCAAATTTATCACCGCTACTCGAACCTTGCATATCAAGGTTCGGATAAGTGTCCAATGATCTCGCGTTTGCTGCCGATAGTAGACTTTCTATCCGAACAGCTGAGCTGAGGACAGGTCATTTTGGTTTATCAGAAATGCCTCGATTGCTATCGCTTATCGCTGCATGCTGCGTGGTCGGACAAAATAAGATTAGGACTATGAGATAAATGCGTTGGAGATTTTTGGGTAAGGTATCGAAATGCGCGAGAACCCGTTTTGAGTACTTTCACATGAGCGTATTGAACACCGAAGAATGCATCTAGAACGGTTTTCTTTTGTGGAAAAGGAGTAGGCAGTTTTAGCATCCATTAGCTTGATCTCCGAATGCACATGGCATTAAGCTGTCCTCACGCAGAGGTAGTGGCATTGCGCAACTTCAAGGTTATGTCTGCCCACAAAAGCAGATATGTTCATGAAGTCAAAAGAGGTTTACGGCCTTTTTGAAAAGTTTTCCCTCTACAAAGCAGTTTCGCTGCCCAGGGCTGGACACTGATATTTTTGCGCTGTTGGGCACCCACTGCCCTGTCATTACAATCACCCCTCCACGTCAAATGGAGCCGAGATTTCATCTTCGGAACGCGCGTGGAAGGCGTGCCACCTGCCACTACACCACTTCGCCTTACTCAATGGATTATCGGCGCAGTACCATTTCAGCAATAAATGCGGAATAAGGAAATACGAATAAACTCTCATGGAAAAGTACCTGAACAGTTTTGCTATGAAGCCCATTGAGGAGAACTCCATGGCAAACCACTGTTTATCGGAATTGAATTCTATATAGTTGAATATCACTCTCCTGAAATTCGAGTATTGGTGTGGAGGAGCAGTTATTACAACCTACACAATTCTATGCTGAACGTGGAAGACAATTACAATAAGTTATCAGAAATCGCCGGCACCAAACAGTTTCCTATTACGCATGGGCTATTCATGTTTAGAAGGTTGAACTACACCTAAGAACGAAGCTCCAGCCAAATCTCACGGAGAAGAAATTCGGTGAAAAACTGGCATATTTTGGGAAGGCTGTGGAAGGAGATAGTGTAAATAATGGTTTGCTGACTCAGTAGCTAGGGAGTGAGAGGGGGATGTGGAGCTCGTGTGAAACGAAAAATAACAACACTCGAGCAAAAGTTCTCCTCAGTGCAAAAGCAACTCTTTCTCCAACGACTGAATACGCTTGTCCTCACGTGTTCTCCCTGTTTAGTTGGGGAGTTGAGGTAGGCGTGGTGAGATGCCAAACCGTCGGTAAATCAAGCATGTGAAGGGAGATAATACTCACGCATAACCATCAGCAGCATTAACATCGTCTTCCAATTGCATATAGTATTCGCCCAGTAAAGTTGCGTACTTCATTATATATACATAATCTGAATCAGAAACTTTTCAGGCCTAGAAGAAACGCATAACAATCGAAGTGGCAGAATCGAAAGCATAAAATCTTTTTGTGATGTCGATATACAAAATCACGGCACTATTTCACATTGCTACCCCGGAAACTCAAAAAAGTGTTTTTCGCTGAAACTTGGCTCGCAGAGTTTATTCAGTGCCCTTAATATGATATTCGTTTTTGGCGGTAGTGCCATTTGGCGCCATTGGGCGCGAGTTTTTCACCATCAGACTGCGGCAAAAGAATCACGTCTCCTCCCAGGCTGAATCTCAGCAGAGCTCTAATTTTCGTTGTTGTCTAAAAATGAGTATCATTTTTAGAGCAAGTTATCTTTCAACCCTATTAGGCACGTTTTCATGGATTCCGGTGAAAAGGGGATCGCGCAACACCGGCGCCAGGTTCGATGCGAAATGGCGCCAGCGTCAAAAACCGGTAACATATTCGTAACCAGGATGTCAAATAGCCAACTGTAAAGGATTGCATCTGTGGTGAATTCCGCTCCTCCACGTGGTGCCACTGGGATCTGGTCGCTTCTGCGAGCTGCCAATCGCGGACACCCGCATGCAGGTGACAGGCCTTGACGGATTGGTGAAAACACCATATGTCATCTCACCATGTTTTACTATGACACGTGAATCTCAATATAGTGCTACGGCGTCCACGGGAGCCGACGCCTACTTGTATGGGTGGGCGAGTGTGGGAAAGTATGCGAGGGTCTCTGTTTGAATATGGTCGAATGTCCGCTACCGTGAACATAAAGAGCTCCGAAATTTTCATTCTTTTTGCCCATAGATACCCGCCGTCATCGAAATCTATTGTCACTCAAGAAACAGTCCTTGAAGGACATTTCTGGCAACTGCAATTGTAAAGAACGGGTGGGTGGAAGAAGAGAGATCAGTTAGCAATAGTTAGCAGCAAGCAACTCAGAGAAGAGGGTATATGCTGGAAAATTAATTGATTGGATGATGAATGATTCCAATTACAGTTATAACTTCACTGGTTGTGAGGCCAGCGATGAAGTTGTAATCCGTTTGAATTGATTTCCATATGAGTTTGTTGTCGGTTAAATGAAAAAAGCCACACCCTGGGAAGCCAATTGAAAGACTGCGAGAGCTTGAATCGATCTAAAATTCTAACGCATATTCTGCTATTCTCCGGATCCCTTTAACTCTTACTGTTCAGAACGATGCACACCTTCATTTGCGCCTACTCTTTTATACTTTTGCTCCTCTGTTCTCCATTGTCTCAAATAATGAACAGTGCTTATGATAGGGACGCGTGGTGATCACAACATTGCGCGGGCTTACACTATAGTTTGAAGATCGCAGTAAGCCGGGAACGGTGCTGGAGATGGGTACGTCTCCGCCTGCCCTGCTTTACCAATGGTGATCGCCTAGTGATCGATTTAGTGATAAACAAGGTGGAGAAATACTGATGTTAGTTTACTCCATCCCTCTTAAAAACGAATCCACTGAGTGCGATAACTGCGTCTAAGGCTACAGAACGTTCAGTAACTGGCTCACACAATAATCCTCAGACTAAAAAGCTGGCCTCCTTTCAAAATCTAAAGCGCGAGTCAGTCAATTTTGGTACTAAATTTTGTTCACCGCTCATCTTGCTTGTCAAGTTCCAAATTTTTTGCATTCAAGTAGACATGTCTCTTTTGCCAGGAGCACCCTCTAATTTCAAGCATTGATTGGCCCCTTTGAAAACTTTGATCATCCGTCAGCGCACAGCGTAAAGTCCCTCACAAATTTTCCCATTGCAAGATTTTTTCATCAGAGTACAATGTCTCCATCCCTTATCGAGCGTTAAGCTGCGGAGCAAATTCATCGGTTTTTTTGAACAGATCTAATCAAACTTCTCGAATAATCGTCATACCTATATTTTGTTTCGTTCTCCAGTACATTCTCTCAGCTGAGTCATGGAAAGTGGCCGGTATTTTGCTTATATTTATCTTGTACCAAACTGGAGGCACCGCAATCACCTGAGATTGAGGGAGATGAAGTTACTTCGTTCAACGAGGAATCGCCGTATTGTTTAGGATGTTTGAACTATTACTGCAGCGAACGCTCGTGCTGAAAGAGAAACCTTCGACCTATCGGAAAGGAAAAAACTGCTACTGCTGTAGTGATGGATGCTCGCATTCCCCACTCATATACACTGTTTTTTCGTTCCTGCGAACTCGATAGAGTAAATTCGAAGCAGCTTTACTGTAGACTTCGAGCATCAGAGAGTAAATTCGCAGCAGCTTACTTAGCTTCGAGCATAGTTGCATCATCAAGTATTAGGTTGGTGCATAAGTTCTTAATCACGTGTTTGATCCTTCCGTATTTCGTTCGCATGGATGTCCAACCTGGTATTGTCATCACGTGGTGCCGTGGCACTAATACTCTTGTAATCACACGCAGATATCACTCACCCACCTTGCATTTGCAGGCCACAATGTCGCACAATTTCCACTGTGACAAAATGTACCTGCGCCACGGCCTTCACGATTCACAAAAGAAGTTTCCACTTTCTCAACTCGATGATCACTGGAGATGAGAAGTGGGTCCTCTACGATAACCCTGTGAGGAAGCGGCAGTGGGTCGACAAAGGAGAACAGCCAGAAGCCACCCCAAAGGCCGATCGGGTCAGCCCAGAAGGTTCTCCTGTTCTGTTGGCGGTCCAGAGAAGAGGCTATGGGTAGTAGCTGGGAGCTGTCTGGAGAAGGCAGACGATTTTCGCTTCACATATAATGTACCCAGCCGCGCCAAATTGAAAGTCAGGTCTGCGCCTTATCGTGCGCGGATCGAATGCGAAATATGCGTGGCTCTCCACATGACAAGCCTGACTCACACCGCAAGGCGACCAGCGGCCAGAGCTGGAGACAGTACGGATGGCTGAATGGTCGCCCAAGCGCCCCCTCCCCTACAGCCCTGACATCGCTCCTTCTGACTACTGGCTGTTCAGCCACCTGCAGCGCTCTCTGGACGGAAAAAAGTTCGAAACAAAGGATCAGGTCAGAAAGGCACTCGACGACTTCTTCAAGTCCCAGCCCCGTCGTTCTGGAAGGAAGGAATCGACAAGCTGCCTGAGCGCTGGCGTCGAGTAGTGGATGGTGATGGTGCATACCTCTAATCTTCAGGCTTGGTTCGCTTTTGAGATATTTACGAAAAAATCGTGGCCAAGAACTTATGCTCCAACCTAATAGCATCCAAGCGCGAATCTTAAATTCAACTAGGGTCATTTAATTCGTCACTATCCTCTCAATAAGAGAGTTGGATATGAACAGAAGACTGTAGCCATCACAATGTGGCTGTGGCTATGGCGGTAGTGGTTATTGATGTGTAGGTTATTGATGTGCGCTTTATATCAGTTGGCCGGTGTACTAGGTCATACGTAGGTGAGGTGAGTTAGTCCGCACCATTGTAATTGCTCGCGTATGGAATAACACTAAAGCAGCACTGATAATAGGGTTCTGAAGTTTCTCTCAAGGAAAGGGGGAGGGGAATCGCAGAAAGTGAGGCCAGGAATAGAAGTCCAACTGAAAGTTTGACTCGAAAATATTTGCTGAAATCTTGACTTAATATACCTTATCCGATTGTAGTCTCTGGCTAATATTAGGTTGATCAAAAAATTTTGATAGGGTTAAGATTTTTTCTGTTTTATTTTACAGCTCAGCAAACAATGCAAGCTAATCAGCGAAGTATTAGATTGATCGAAAAGTTTTGATAGGGTTTTTGAAAGTTCCAGAACTTTCGATTCTTGATCGATACCAATGATCTACCATGTGGTAGTGGTAGAACATTCTAGAACCTTCTCCGTAATGGGTATATATAGGCGCGCTTCCTCCTTTAGCTTAAATCACGATGTCAATTCCACGAGACCATGTTCGATACATCATCTTCTACGAGTGGCGCCGCGGCACCGGAGCGACGGCAACCGTTCGCAACATCAACAGCGTATGGTGGTGGGGAGGGGGAAGGGGAATCCCATCGCCACTTCCATCGCTACGGTCCATCGCTGGTTCGCTCGCTCAAGGAAGGAGACACGGACTTCGAAGACAAGCCTCGGTCGGGACGCCCCTCGCCGTCTACGACTCCGTCATTCTCGACGCCGTCAAAGAGGAATAGCAGTCTTACGACGAGACTTGGATGTGCCCAATCAACAGTCGTCGGTCGCCTTCAGGCCCTCGGTTACAGAAAAGTGCTGACTCGATGGATACCTCATGTCTTGACCGCATGCGGTACACCCGGGTATCCATTTGTCAGTCTCTCCTTCTCCGCCCACATCGCAAGGAGTTTCTGGAGGACCTAGTTACTGGAGATGAAAGCTGGAACCTCGCGACGCTAACAAGTCCGCGCGTCTGCCT